CAGCGCCTCTAAGTGCGCCTTCATCAGAGCGCCTTCATCAGAGGCACAATATCTGAGTGTTCCCTGATTCGGCTGATATTTGAATGCATTACCGACCAATAAGATTGGGGGAGTGTGTATGCATTTCCTGCCTGGTTGTGACGGGGGAGGCTCGGCACGCCCCTAAAGTACGTGGCAGCATGTTAAAGGTTATGTGCCGTGAACGAATGAAGCCCGAACGGGGAATTAACCCATGGAGTGCCTCGGGCTATTGGAACTGGCAAACTACCTGCCACGTACAGCCACAGGCATTCTGTCAATACCTCTAGGGCAAAAAGAGTGTCCCTTGTGGTTCTAAGACCACCAGTAGGGGGTAAAGTGTGCATAAAATAAATCCCTACCCCTTAGAGGTGCCTCTGTGATGAGACAAAGAGACTGACAAGTGATTGGATGCTCCCTGTAAAAAGAATAGTGGGAGCTGCTGATAACAGAGTACAAGGTTTGTCATCAGCTAGATAGAATATAAAATCACCTGTAAAAGTAAGTCCAGTGAAATGCTACTGGAACCTACAATGTAGTAATGCATTATAACTCAGGGTAGCAGGTATTATAACCTGTGGTAACAGCATTTTAGCGACCCAGCTAGGAAAGACCCTGGCATGCTATCTAACCAATGCTCCTACTTGCCCAAGTTCTCTGATAGACCGTCCCGTTCTTCCCCTCGCTGTAGTCCAGGCTACAGACAGGGTTCGTGTTTGCAATATTATGGGTCTGCGCTCCCAGTGGTATAAGATTTTTTTTTTTTTTTTTATTCTTTATTTTTCGTTGTGCGGGTGGGTAGAGAATTTCAACAGTTTGCCACAACAGCATATACAAACGCCAATATGTACACGTTGGCATGATTGAGTGCACATTTAAGATAGTACATTTTTAACAAGCATCTAAGCTCCAGCCTATAGTAGCAGTATATAAATAGCACAGGATAGATGTCTGGCTGGTGTGCCTCAGTGTCTGTGGGTATCGTAACCGTGGGTGTCTCGCATGGTTATTCCAGCGTGTGTGTGGGCTTGACCCATATGTGCGAGGGGAGTATCCCCTGTGATGGGGCTCAACTTCGTCTATGCTCGGGTTTGTGAATTTGAGGGGCCCTCGCTATGAGGCCAGTAGACCAGTTAAAATTGTTTGAGTGACTTGAGGGATGTAGAATAGTAGGGCCGCTCAGAGAATGTCGTTGTGTCGCATTGTGGTATTAGGTGTTGACCCTCCGCTCAGGCTTGTCGTGCTGGAGGCAAGGGAGCTGATCGTCTTGTTGGTGAGGTGAATGGTAGCGGGGACATCCGGTTAATTGAGGTGTAGCCGATCGCCGGTGTTGCTTGTTGCTCCCTCTCCTTTTCGGCCCCTTTTCGGGAGACACGTGTGGGTCGTTTATGCTTGCGGTGACGAGCAGCCAGATGGCTCTGGGAAGCCGCAGATTGGTCAGTGGGAATGGAGGAGGGTGTCCCCTCACAGAGCTGAGCTCCGAGGGAGGTGCAGGTGCGGTCAGGCGCCATATGTTGCGGTTCCAGGTGTCTTGGCCCTAGCGGGGCTTTTCCGTTGTCCCACCATGTAGTAGGGGTGATGGGTGTTGAGGTCGTGGTTCTGTTTGATGTATCTGTGCGTATCTCTCCCTGAATCCGCTTCACTTTGGGAGTTACCCTCCGGGTGGGGGTAATGTCTGGCGGGTGCTTCCCCTGCTCAGTAAGCATGTGGGTTGTCGTGGCTGCTCTTTGTTCGATGCGGTACCAGAAGTTTCGACAGAGGTCATCGAACCTGGCATTGAACTGGGCCCTCCACTGGGTGATCAGGTCGCTTTGCTGGTTTTCCTGCGTGGCGGCAATCTTGGTCTCACCACGAGGTGCATGTGTTACGGTTCCTCTGCCCTCCGGTTCTCCGTGTGCTTGCCACCCTCTGCAGTAAATGGACCAGGATGTCCCCCACCGGTCCGGGGGGGGGTCGGAGTGTGGCGGGTCCACGTGTAGGGCTCGGACTCTGAGAGATCGGCTGCCTCTCCCCCGTCCAGCTCCCAGTAGGCCGCCACCAGGCTCTCGGGCTATCATCGTTGCTAGTCATCAGGGTGAGCGTAGTTTAGTGTGCCTCGAGCCCCCTGTGTGTGGATACTTCTGATTTTGTCTTTAAATCCAGAATTTAGGCTTAATTCTGTGATTTCCAGCTATTTTGTGCAGGAGCTCAAGCTGCGTGCGACTGCTTGGCTAGGCAGTCAGGCTCCGCCCCTAACATTCTAATTGTTTTGGTGCTAAACTGCTAAATAGTACATTTGTGGCCTGCACTTCATATCTGAGAGTCAAATAGTGCGCTTACAGCGCAGTTGTAAACATTCTAATTGTTTTGGTGCTAAACTGCTAAATAGTACATTTGCACCCTGCGGTGCATTAATTGCAGTCCAATAAACAAACTAAAAAAAAAAAACCATCTGTTAGTTTGGTCGGCGAACGCAAAAAATTAGGAGAGCGTCAAATAAGGGACGTGGCCCTGGTTGTGGTGCTGCTGGTGTTGGTGGAGCCCCTGTTGCAAGGAGAGGACGTGGTCGATCTGTGCCAGCTACACGCACAAGTGAAACACCTTCCTCAGGTGCGGGTAGGCGACAGAACCTTCAGTGTTATTTGCTAAGCCCGAATGCTGCTCTACAAATGGTGAGGGCAGAACAAGTGCAGGCGATAGTAGATTGGATAGCTGACAGTTGGCACCTGCAGCCCATGGCCACCTGTCTTTCACCTCACCCCCTTGCAAATCAGCCAAGCAGTCTGAGCCACACGTCATGCAACAGTCTCTTATGCTTTTTGATAGCTCTGCTGGTGGGGTTTACGTGGGCCATCCACCTAGCCTTGCCCCAGAAGTGGAAGAGATTGAGTGCACTGATGCACAACCACTTATGTGTCAGGATGTGGACATGCAAAGACCACCGCAGCACGTCTCTGATGATGACGAAACACAGGTGCCAACTACTGTGGTTTTCTGCAGTGTGCAGACATGGCAAGGAGGGCAGGGTTGAGGTGGAAGATGATGTGGAGGCTGATGAGGTCCTTGACCCCACATGGAATGAAGATGATGCGAGTGACGTGTGCAGTTTGGAGGAAGAGGCGGTGGTCGCACAGAGGCACCAGGGTGCAAAAGCGGAGTGGCCGTCCCTTAGACGGTACGCCTGCTACTGCCCACCACACCGAGGGACCGAGCATACCAAAGCCAGCTCCAAGGAGTTCCCTGGCATGGCAGTTCTTCAGACAATGTGCTGATGACAAGACACCGCACAGGAGCTGTGGAAGGGCATGGAACAACAGACCGATGAATGGTTGTTGCCACTGAGCCTCAAGCCCGGCCTGGTGGTGTGCGATAATGGTCGAAATCTCATAGCAACTCTGGGCCTAGCCGGTTTGCCGCACATCCCTTGCCTGGCACATGTGCTGAATTTGGTGGTGCAGAAATTCCTAAAAAACTACCCAGATATATCAGAGCTGCTGCAGAAAGTGCGGGCCGGCTGTGTGTGCTTTCGGCATTCTCACCCTGCTGCTGCTCGCCTGTCTGTGCTGCAGAGTAACTTTGGCCTTCCCACTCACCGCCTCATATGCAACATGCCCACAAGGTGGAACTCCACCTTGCACATGCTGGAGAGACTGTGTGAGCAGCAGCAGGCGATAGTGGAGTTTCAGATGCAGCACGCAAGACCTGTGTGCCATTTTGCACTGTTTCGAGTACTCCACCAACATGGCCAGTGCCGATGACGCCGTTCTCAGCCTTACTATCCCGCTTCTATGTCTCCTTGAAAAAAACGCTTGGGGTGATGATGGAAGAGGATGTGGCACAGGAGGAAGAGGAGGAGGAAGAGGGGTCATTTCCACGGTTATCAGGCCAGTCATTCATAAGTGGCTTGGAGGGTGGGTTCCTGCACCAGCATAGGCCAGGTACACAATTGTCCAGCCAGGGCACAGTTCTGGAGGATGATGAGGATGAGGAGGAGGAGGAACCGTGTTCACAGCAGGGTGGCACCCAAAGCAGCTCGTGGGCATCACTGGAGCGTGGCTGGGGGGATACGGAGGACACAGACGATAAACCTCCCACAGAGGACAGCTTGCCTTTGGGCAGCCTGGCACACATGAGCGACTACATGCTGTAGTGCCTGCGCAACGACTGCCGAGTTGCCCACATTCTAACTTGTGCTGATTACTGGGTGGCCACACTGCTGGATCCCTGTTACAAGGACATCGTGCCGTCCTTAATTCCCTCACTGGAGCGTGATTGGAAGATGCGCAACTACAAGCGCATGCTGGTAGACGCGCTGCTGAGGGCATTCCCAACTGACGGGCTCAGTGGAAGCACAAGGCGAAGGCAGAGGAGGAGGAAGAGGTCACCAACGCAGCTCTGGCAACGCCAGCACCTCAGAAGGCAGGGTTAGCATGGCCGAAATGTGGAAAAGCTTTGCCAGCATGCCACAACAACCAGCACCACCATCTGATATGGAACATCTTAGCAGGAGGAAGCATTTCAGCAACATGGTGGAACAGTACGTGTGCACACGCCTACATGTACTGACTGATGGGTCTGCCCCATTCAACTTCTGGGTCTCCAAATTGGGCACATGGCCTGAGCTTGCCCTTTATGCCTTGGAGGTGCTGGCCTGCCCTGCAGCCAGTGTATTGTCTGAACGTGTGTTTAGCATGGCAGGGGGCGTTATCACAGACAAGCACAGCCGTCTGTCCACAGCCAACGTGGACAAGCTCACGTTTATTAAAATGAACCAGGCATGGATCCCACTAGACTTGTCTGTACCTTGTGCAGAACAGACATTTATACCAGCCTCACCCAGCCATTGTTATACTCAAGTGCACTTATTCTTTGTTTTCTTGTTTTATATGTCCCAATATACCCCAATTAAAAAACAAACAAATAAAAAACAGTGTTGGCTACCTCGTCCTCCTCCACCGCCGCTTCCACCTACACTGCCACGGTCACCGCCACCCAGTGGCGTACCTAGAGCATTTGGCACCCGGGGCAGATCCTGTGGTTGGCACCCCCTTGCCCCCCCAAAAGCCCAGCCCCCAGCACCAGTTTGGCTCCACCTCCGATTTTGCTTAGCTCCGCCCCACTTTTCCTCCGTGCGGCCAGTTTATCAGCTGTTTGCTTGTGTGAGCTGTACTGGCCGCACAGCACCCTAACTACCATGGGGCACTGTGCGGCCACAGCTCACACAGCCCCCTCCAGCCAGGGCTGGTGCAAGGATTTTTGCTGCCCTAGGCAAAAGTAAAGTTTGACGCCCCACCCATATGATTTGCCATGTTATCTAACGCCAGTGCTGCAGTGCCACCGTGTTTACATTAAAAGGCCTGCAGGGACAGGCTATAGACACCAGAACCACAACATTAAGATGCTATAGTGTTTCTTTAATGTGAGGTAAATTAGAGATTAGTGCCACAAATAATATATTATATTGCCTACTTACAACCAGATGAGGATGATGATGGGCTCTAGCTGCAGTCTGGCTCCACTGGTCACAAAAATCAATGTTCTGGGAGAACGGGAAGCAGCTCCATTTTTTGGGGGCCCTTTACACAGCTCAAGGTCTGGGTCCCAGGGTCCACCTTCATGTTCCACCAATGAGTTTGTTCACAGGGGGTGGAGTGTGTAGGGGATGTCCTGATATGTGTGTAAGGAATGCATTGTGTGAATCTGTGCTTGTATGTGGAAGGGCTGCAATGTGTGTTTCTGTGTATGTACGGGATGCATTGAGTGTGTGTAATGAATGCATTGTGTGTTTCTGTGTGTGTAAGGGATGCATTGTGTGTAACGGTTGCATTGCTTGTGTATGTGTGTCTGTGTGTGTAATGCAGTGTGTGTAATGCATTGTGTGGTTTTCTGTGTGCAAGGGGTGCATTGTGTGTGATGAATGTCAATCTCTCCCCCCCCCTTCAATTTCCTTCTCTCCCCCGCCTCCAATTTCCTTCTCCCCCTCCCAATTTCTTTCTTTATCCCCCTCCCAATTTCTTTCTTTATCCCCCTCTCCAATTTCTTTCTTTATCCCCCTCCCAATTTCTTTCTTTATCCCCCTCTCCAATTTCCTTCTCCCCTCCCCCTTCATCTTTATCCCCCAATCTTTCTTTATCCCCTCAATTCTCCTTTCCCCTCCCAATTTCTTTCTTTATCCCCCCTCCAAATCTTTCTTTATCCCCCCTCTCCAATTTCCTTCTCCCCCTCACAATTTCTTTCTTTATCCCCCCTCTCCAATTTCCTTCTCCTCCCTCCCAATTTCTTTCTTTATCCCCCCTCCCAATCTTTCTTTATCCCCCTCTCAAATTTCCTTCTCCTCCCTCCCATCTTTCTTTATTTCTTTCTTTATCCCCTTCCTTCTCCCCTCTTTTTTTCTTTATTCCCTCCCAATCTTTTTTATCCCCCTCTCCAATTTCCTCTTCCCCTCCCAATTTCTTTCTTTATCCCCTAATCTTTTCTTACCTCTCCAATTTCCTTCTCCCTTCCCATTTCTTTTACTCCTCCCAATCTTTTTTATCTCCCCCAATTTTCTTTATCCCCTTCCCATTCTCTGTTTAGCGAAGCTCTGTATCATGGTCCGCGGGTACAGGGAGCTCTTGTTTCCTGTACCTGGCCGGACTAAAAGGAAGTGAACACTGAGTGTGCACTTCCTGTTAGTCCGGCCAGGTACAGGAGACAGATGCTCCCTGTACCCGCGGACCATGATACAGGGCTCGGCCACGATACACTGAGGGAGTGACAGGAGGGAGCGCTGAGCTCGGGCGGCTGCAGCATGAGTGGAGCCGGCGTTCCTGGTGGCGCCCCCTCCCAAGGCACCCCCCACCCTGGTGGCACCCGGGGCGGACCGCCCCCTCTGCCCCCCCCCTTAGTACGCCACTGCCGCCACCTCAACCTATGGGTCATGTAGTATAAACTATGTACACAATAGCAGAGGCTTGTGAAGGCCTTTTCTCCATGCATCAGGAGTTGAGCATTTCTCCATGCATCAGGACTGCAAGAAATGCACTGCAGGCCGCAAATGTTTCTTTTTTTATATGACCCAATATTTTGGGGGCTACCCTTGTTGTAGAATTATTAGGCCTCTATAAATCTGTAAGGCCCCTTTAAATCCTCTTGCTATACCTCTAAAAGGCCCCCATAGTTTTACAAGAAAGCCTTGTCTATAGAACATAGAATTTGCATGTCAGCAAGAAATAGCTTTGATAAAATGTGTATTTAATAAAAGCCTTGAAACCTAGCCTTGAGAAACTAACAAGTGCCAGTTACGCTCTAAATGGATAGCTGCCAAAAGGCCCCTCCCGTCGAGTGATCTCCTCATGTTAGCAAAATGGCGCTAAAACCTGGGGGAGAAAAGCATGACGTAGATAGTGACTTAAGATGGTACACCCCATAGGGAGGGCATTTTACTAACATCTTAGCACCTAAGCCAATTAACAATGTCTATTTGTCTATATCTTGATTTTCTTCAATGATGTAATAATGCCTTTAAAAGGGTCTGCGCACCCATTTTCTGTCAGAAGCCATTAAACTTCTCCGAAGTTCTTTCATTAACCTGAACTTTGTGTCTCAGTGTGAATTTACTTCTGCGTGCACGCAACTTTATTATCTTTAATTTGGACAGGAACAGATAGTCATTCAAACTAATTGGTTTGCAGTAAATTATCTACTACACCCTAATTAAAAAAAAAAATATATATATATAAAAAACAGTGTTGGCTACCTCCTCCTCCACCACTGCTTCCACCTACACCGCCATGATCACTGCCTCCTCAACCTATGGGTCACTTAGTAGAAACTATGTACACAATAGCAGAGACATGTGAAGGCCTTTTCTCCATGCATCAGAAGTTGAGCATTTCTCCATGCATCAGGACTGCAAGAAATGCACCGCAGGCTGCAAATTTTTCTTTTTTTATATGTCCCAATATTTTGGGGGCTACCAATTAAAAAAAAACAAATAAAAAAACCCCCAAACAAATAAAAAACAGTGTTGGCTACCTCCTACTCCACCGCCGCTTCCACCTACACCACCACGGTCACCGCCTCCTCAACCTATGGGTCACTTAGTATAAACTATGTACACAATAGCAGAGGCTTGTGAAGGCCTTTTCGCCATGCATCAGGAGTTGACCTCAGTTTGAACAATGAAAGAGAGTACCCTGCACATCAACCCTCTCTCAAATGGATAATTCTGTTGATCCTCCTGACAGCCATGCTTTAGATTTTGATTTATGTTCTTCCAAAGCTAAAATCAAAGATTCCATCTAGTGCTATTTTATGGCTCAGCTGTATTTTTAATTTTTATGTTATTTTAGGTGATTTTCCTATCCACATTTGTTTGCAGGGCACTTGTTCTACTCTTACGCCCATTTTACTTCCTTTTGCAGCCCTCTAGCCCTTTCCAGGACTTTTTTGGAGGCATTTTTGTGCCCAAAAGTTCGGGTCCCCATTGACTTCAATAAGGTTTGGCTTCAGGGTCAAGTTTGATCCCAAACCCAGACTTTTTTTCAAAGTTCGGCCAAACCCGCCGGATCCGAACATCCAGGTGTCCACTTAACTCTACTCAGGAGTGCATACAATTTGGTAAGGATTAAGGAGAATCATGAGTGGAAAATGGCATTTAACACTAGGAGTGGGCATTATGAGTACCTTGTCATGCCATGCTATGCAACTTTATTAACGATGTACTCAGAGACTATAAACTGTAGTGCAAACTTGAAAATAAACTGTATTGCAAACTTGAAAAATGCATCTTTAATCAGACTGAATTACACTTTTTGGGATATAATATTTCCGCCTCTGGGTTTCAGATGGATCCTAATAAACTAAAGGCTGTTCTACATTGGCCATTGTCCAATGGATTAAACGCATCCAAAAATTAATTGGGTTTGCTAATTATTACAGAAGATTTATCTTCTAGCCCCCATCACTAATATGACACGTTACGGGAACCTATAGAAGCTTTTGAAATTCTCAAACAAAGGTTTGCTTCTGCTGACAAATTGATACATCCTGACACCAGCAAACCTTTTACACTGGAGGTTTATGCCTCTGAAACAGGGGTGGGGCTGTCCTATGTCAGGATACTTTATTGCAGCCATGTGGGTAATTTTCTAGAAAGTTTTCCCCGGCCGAGCGTAATTATGATATTGGCAACAGGGAATTGTTGGCCATTATACTAGTGCTTAAAGAATGGCAACACTTTTTAGAGGGTTCCAAGGATTCCCTTTTGATCATCACTGATCACAAGAATTTGGCATATATTGGTAATGCTAAACGACTTTCCTCTAGACAGGCCAGATGGTCTTTGTTCTTGTCCCGCTTTAATTTTATTATCACTTACAGACCTGGTCCCAAAAACGTTAAAGCTAATGCCCTGCTAATGCCCTCTCTAGACAGTTTGATATTGAATAAGAACGAGAACAAGAAACATCCCCTATTGTTCCTCCGGAGTGTATCATTGCTTCCACTGTTCTCTCCTTCTCATCCCCATTGCTTTGTGCTGTCATTGCACCTTGCAATAAGCCTCTGGATAAACTGTTTATTCCATTGTCTGACCGAAAGGAAATAATGAGGATATCAACTATTTAAGGCTTGTATCAATTAGCCTCAAGATAATGCTTCATGAACTCCACATATTGGAGTGAGCATTCACCTTAGAAATCACTTGTAACTAATCTCCCTAAATTCTGTCAAACAGAATTGCATTCTGGATTACTAACTACTAATAGATTTTCTTGAGGATCCCCCAATTTGTGGCCATCATGAATAAAGCCTGTAAATGAGGGGATAGCTTTGAGTCCACTCCTAGTCAGAGAAAAGCTTTACAGCTTTAGCTTTTACCAATTAGACTCTCTCATTTATTTTCGTTTTGGACAGAGTATATTTGCATAGTGTTTCACATATATCCAGTTTATATCAACATTCAAAATTATTTTTGTTTGAATGTGGATATTTTGTTTCTTTCTTTCCATTTTGTTAATAGGGGTTAAGACCCAGACACCACCGGAGTGTCTCCTTGGTAAATATATTCAGGGCAGGAGGTTTTGCACTAGCAAACCATCTTCAACTGAATACTCCAATTCATATCTGTATATCTGCCTGCCTGTCAGTGTGTTTGTCTGTGTATCTGTATGTCTGTCAGTGTGTGCGTGTGTGTGTGTATCTGTATTTTTATCCCTTCACTTGGAAGGTGAGGTGCTAAAAACCTATTTACGGCCCGAAGTTT